TTTCTAATTTGAAAATTAGTTTCAAATTAGAAAGTCGATTGCCTAAAAGGAAATTAGTTTCCTATTTTAGGTTTAAAGGTAATTTAGAAAATTGCTTCCTAATATGGGCTCCATTAAAATACTTTACCCAATTCATTTGGATAGTTTAAATTAATTGAGCTAAAAAAGTTTGAGCCAATAGGGTTAATTTAAAAGCTTATAAGATATTTTATTGGAATAATAAACTCGAGCACTATTGGATAAGGTTTAGGATTTACAAGGACAAGGTTAGACAAATCTCATACAAGCAATATCTCCTTGACCTACAAGGAGAAATTGACACCCCTTATATATAAGAGGGATGAGAGAGGCTGCAATGAGAGTGTAAGAGAAAGAAAACTCATGAAAATAAAGAAAAGAAAAGGAGAAAATACATTTTTCTTCCAAAAATAATTACTTGCCACATCTCTCCTAAAAAAGCCAAAAGTTGGCATAAATTATCCTATAGGATTTCTAGAGAAAAATAAACTACACAAGAGGATTGGAGTTAGCACTTTAGGATTTCGTTACTTCTTGTGTGGGTGTTTGAGCTGCATGAATAATCAATAAAGGCCGAATGCTTGATGGTTCCCTTTTCGCTTTAATTATTTTTGTCTTACAAGAGGTAATCTTTTATCCATATTTAAATTCATGTTTATGTATGATTAGTTAATTCAATGACATGATCTTAGGAACCCTATATGGAGGAATATTTTTATTTTATTTCGCACCTCCATAGAATGTATGATCCTTCACTCTATAATCCATCGATTTATGTTCGATTTTAATTGTTCTTGTTTCAGTAGGACCTTTAAACATCAATTAATTAGCATTTTTATAATTTCTTCCAATTATGCCCCTTCTTTAATTTAATTAAGAGACTAAATTTTTGATTTTTTTAAATTGTATCCTCAATTGTCTTTTTTTTTTCAAACTTTATATTTTTTTAATTAGCCCCCTCTTATAACTAATCTAAACTAATTGTCAATTGATATTTTTTTTATCTTTATCTTTATCTTTTCTCTTTATCTTTTTCTATTTATGCTTGGGTTTTTTTTTGTCTTGTTTATTATTATTAGTAGTAGTAGTATTTGTATCTTGTAATAAAAATAAGAATAGAACTAAAAAATAATGAGAGCAAAAATTGGGTGTTAACAATCATCAACATGTTCAACAACTATATACTTTTTAATAGTATTTCTAACAAGATTATTAACATCAATAATATTATTAACAACAAAAATATGCTCTAGAAAGCACTTAACATTAAAGGGTCTAAAATCATTTGGACTTTAGTAGCATTCTAGCATTTGAAAAGGTCTAGGTTGTCCATTAGGATCCTCTTCCATGTATAGATGGATAATATCATTATTTTTATGGGCAACCATAGCATTAGTAGTTGACTTATTATTATAAACTTACACCTTCCAATCATCTCTATCACCGAAACCTTTCAAGTCAATATCGAACACTTGTTTCGACAAGAATAACAAATCCATATAAAAAAAGCATTCTACCATGGAAATACGTTCAACGAAGGTTTTGTATCCATGTTGAACATGTACTTGAGGCATTTTTAAGATCTAAAATAATTCCAAAAAAGATCAATTTTGAAACCGAGTATAGGTTAAAAAATTATTAATTTTGATAATACAAAATTAAAGTTTCTTTTGAAAATTTGAAAAGTTACATCAATAGCACAAATTTTAAGGGTTTTGTTTGGAATTTCCAGAACATCACATTAATTTAAATCTTTTATGGTTTGTTGCCAATTTCGATCAAAAGATATGGAAATTAGGATTAAGGGTTTCACATAGTGTTATTTAAGCTTTGAATTTTCTTCAAATCAAGTTAAAACAACAACACTTACCTCTAGTCAACTTGATTTCTTGAGTCTTTGTGTTTGTTTTGCTTTATAAAGGTGTGAAGTTTAATTCACATGCCTCTCTCTTAAGATCCCAATAGAGAGAAGAGAGAATAGAGAGATATTGAGGTTCAAGAGAGGCAAAGTTAGATGAGAATAATGTGTAGAATGTTGAGTTAGCATGAGGGGTGGATTTAATATATATGAGAGTATATTAGTCATTTCACTATTTATTTGTTAGAAAAATTAAATGCCTAAATTATAGAGTGTAAAATATAATGTTAGAAAAATTAGGATGCAAAGTATCCTACCATCAAAGTATATGTATGATGGTTATCGCAATTTACCCTAAAGATTATTGATATGTGAGTTTAAAACTTCATTATTTTGTGGGTTTGTTTGTTTTTCTTTTTAACTTATTTTCACCATAAAAAAATAAATTAATATGAGTAGATTTTTCTACTCCTACAATATTCTTGTATAAGTACATTGCTAAATTATTTTAAAAGTTAATTAAGATTTGAAATTACCTTGTGAGTGAACATAAATTATTTTTTTCAAGTTGTGTTTGTTTGGGGGAAAACAAATTTCGAAACTTGTTTTTTTTATTATTTTTTTCTATTTTTTGATGTTTGTTTCGTGTTTAGGAAAAGAGTTAATGGAAAATGATTTTCAATCAACATAAAATGGTAGAGTATTTTTGAAAAAGTGTTTTCCGAGTTAAAAAAGAGGATAATATTTTTCTTCTTTCATGAGTTGTCTTGCTCTCGCATTACTCACCTCTCTCTCGATATATTTTAATAATTTTTTTCTCTGTCTCTTTTTTATTTAAAATATATCAAATTAATTTTTAATTAATTTTTATCAATTTTTATTAATTATTTAATTATTTTTTCTCTATTTCTATTAACATTTGATTTTTCAATTTATAAATACATTAAATATTCTTAAAAAAATATTTTTACACCTTAAATTATTTTTTATAATAAATCTTTTAATAATTTATCTCTATTTTTTTTTTTTTTACCATTATCTCAAACACCACCTAAACTATACTTAAATGATTGAAAATGAATATTACAAGACTCGAAATCATTTGTGAAAAATATGAAACTAATTAATTCATCAATAAATACATTATTTTTTCAACACTATTCAGTTGTAACTAAATCAATAATTTATAAGTAATTTTAATTATTTGTAAAATTTTGTTGGTAATTATAGTCAATAATTATTTACAAATTATTCCAACATTAATCTTTTGAAACCAAATGAATAATTATCTACAAATGATAACTAATAATTTGTAACACTAATTTTTAGACTAAATTATTAGTTTAATTTCCAAAAAAAATTATTCTATTTCAGTTTTTTGTATCAAACATACACTAAAATATATTTTTCAGTAGTTTTTTTCATGTAATTGTCAATTGTTAGAAAATATTTTTTTGAAAAATAATTTCCTAAGAAATAGCTTCTCCAAAATTGATTTTTCTATGGAAATTGTTTTCCGCCAAACAAACGAAGCCTTAGAGAAATTGGAAAAGTTTTATATGAGAAATTGGTAATAATAAAATTTGTCAATCCAATCTTCATGGTGAATATAGTATAATTTATAGGCCCAATAAATGGGCAAGTTTTATTTTGTAGGTCAGATTTATTGTACAAGCTGAAGTATAAGGACTGGAGTATCAAAACTCAATAATGAAAGGGTTCATTGGTTGAAGCCTTGAGAGTTGAGATGTAGCAAAAAGGATGGCAAGACTTCCCAAATTCTTTAATTTTTTTTGTTGTTGGACTTTCAAAGATGAGAAAGAGAGGTTCTATCATTGTAAGAAGTTTTCTTCTCTCTTCTTTTATTTTTATTATCCCTATATATATATATATATATATATATATATATATATATATATAATTAGATTTCTTTCTAAAATAAAAGATCTAATTTGATCTACACCCTAAAGTGATTGAAGTCAATTGCTTATCAGGTGGCATTTAAAGTTTTTTTAACAGAATCAAACGATAGGACCTGCTTGTTAAAACATAGATGGATTGAGCTATTTCTAGTAAAATCTCATAGGTTGGGGAGTAACTTGTGAAAGCCCTCATAGGCTAGGGTCTGATTTGTAGTTATCCTGTAACATTTTGACTTCTTGTTGCTTTGTGATTTCACGTTTTAAACCAGAAAAACCAACGTTGTAAGTAATAGTAACTCTTGCCATGCCAACCAAGGTTTAGCTCAAGTAGTAATTTAGTGGCTAATGAGGAGGTTATATGATTCCTTAGACCATGGTTTCTTTTCATCTACTTTTAAACAATTTTCTACAGAAGATTGCTGAAGCACCAACAAGGGGTAGGGATTTCCAATGATGTCTATTTAAAGCCCTGTAAGTAATCATACATAGTATTAATTAACAACTGGAACTTTAATTTCTTCTTGCATGGAACTTGTTCAGCATGGTGGAAACATACAATAATTAGCATTTTAACAGCTACTTTCAGGCTGCCAGCAAGTACCTGAGGAAAAGCGCACACCAGCGTGCTATATGTGTAAAAGAAAAAATCAAGTTCAACACCTGCAACTAAAAAGTACATGCAGCGAATTAAAGGAATGTAAAATGCAACCAGCCCTTTTATTTTTTATTTTTTGTTTCCAAAGAGTTCGAATTCGATACTTTTTAGGAGAGGAGGAACACTAATAATGCCAGGTGAACTATAGGTTCTCATGTATGCTAGTTGTTGATCTTGGCATGATAAGTAAAGAGTAGGGCGAAAATTGAGCAGATCCACCAGGGATGTACTGTTTACTAGAATTAAAATGATTCTGATGGCTCGTAACTTCGTCCATTACAGTAGAAACATCAAACGAGTGAGCTAGCTCATCGTGCCAGAGACTATTTTTCAAAGGGTTTTGAAACACAGAGTACATGAGACTCTGGGATATTGCAGTTTTCAATCATATCTCACCTAAACTCATTTCTCATCATAAGCTGCACCGTCCATGCTCTTTTACTCATCCAATCTATGTTAAACAGATCGCATCATAAATCCTAATAAGGTACTTATTAATTAGTACTCGTAAACTACTGGAAAATTGTGGATAGAAAGTGGCAAGAAGTCACCAATAATCCATACAAGAACATGAACCGTTCTCGAAATGATGGAAGCGCCTCCGGTCTCTTACAATTATCTTACGATTATAAATCTTTGAGACAAGTTTTATTGAAGAGTGACAATCTTCACACAGTCGTAGATTCTTAACAATTCGGAGCGGTGTCTGGGGCCTTGTACTGATTAAGCCAAAGGCAATTGCAATCTTTTCACTATGATAGTGCAACGCACTTTGTTTTTCTTTTTCATCCATGTTGAGCAACACTTGGGTGGTGTTTGGCCTGTATCCCACTGATCTTAATTGATTCGATATTTCCTCTAACATCGAATGGATTCCTTCAGCTCTAGGATGGAAATCATCTTCCACAAGAAATTCATGTATCACTCCATCAAGCTCAATCCAACTACATCCAGGGTCTTTCCTTATATCCATGTCCTTCATTTTAAGCCTCACCTTGGCAACCCCCTCCCAGTTTCCTTCAGAGGCAAACATATTCGAGAGAGCCACATAAGATCCACTATCATGTGGATACCAATCCATCAATTTTTTTGCAATGCGTTGTCCCATCTCAATGTTTCCATGCATTTTACAAGCACCAATCAAGGCCTTGTATATCACATCATCCGGTTTAATAGGCATGTTCAGTATAAGCTGTTCTGCCTCTTCTAAACGCCCAGCACGGCCTAATAGATCAACCATGCACCCATAATGTTCAATCCTAGGCACGAGACCAACAACGTTAACCATATGGTAATAAACAGATCGACCCTCTTCAACTAAACCGGCATGGCTACAAGCACTTAATACACCAATATACACAACATCACTGGGGGTCACACCAGCTTGTTGCATTCCCCAAAAGCAATCAAGAGCGTCCCTTGCTTGACCGTGCATAGCAAGCCCGCCAATGATAGCACTCCAAGTAATGGGATTCTTTTTATTTCTTATCCTCTCAAATACCTGAACTGCCTTGTCAATGCTACCACACTTGGAATACATATCAACGAAAGCAGAGCCAAGCACGTCATCGATTTCAATCTCATTCTTCTCTGCATATAGATGTACCCATTCTCCCAAATCTAGAGCCCCTAAACGCGAAATAGCAGGAAGAACACTAACCAAAGTCACGTAATTTGGAGACACATCTCCCACTTGCATATCTCGAAACATCTCAATTGCCTCCTTAAAATGTCCACTTTGTGCATATCCAGATATCATCACATTCCATGAAACCACACTTTTATTAGGCATACTGTCAAACAACTCCCTAGAAGCTGTAAGATCCCCCATCCTCACATACCCATCAATCATCACATTCCATAAAACAACATTACCCTCTAGCCGTCTCGTATAAAACAATACATGAGCATCTTTCATGGCCCCACACATAACATACATCCTCACAAGATTACTAAGAACAAACTCGTCACTAACCAATCCTAGTTTCGCAATAAACCCATGAAGCTGTTTTCCTTCTTGAATCCTAGCCAATTTCGCACAGGCTTTTAACACACAAGGGAAAGTGAATTTATTAGGATCCACAAGACCATCAGTAAGCATATCGGAAAAATACAGCAATGCCTCTAATGAGTTAACATGAAAAGAATCATCATCAGAATCAGCTAAAGCTCTAATGATAGTGTTCCAAGAGAAGCGATTGGGGTGATGAATTTGGGTAAAAAACTTACGTGCGTAATTGATGTCACGTTGAGAAGAGAGGGAGATAAATTTGAGGATTTCAGCAGCAGCAACAGGGTGGTGTATTTGGCCTGTTTTGATGAAGTGGGCATGAATTTGTTTGAGGTGTCTTGCAGTCTTGCATCTCCTGATTTGAGGGAAGAGTGAAGAAGATGGGTGATATGGTGATGTGCTTGTGCTTGGTTTGTAGATAGTCGTGTTCATTTTTGGTTGGGGATTCATATTTTCATGTACACCACAGTTTCATGGAATTAGATGTTTAGATTAGATTTCTGGTGTCAGTGAAGTTTTTGGACCTTAGTATTCAGTTGTGTTAATGCCACGCTGTTTCACTATAGGCCATCCACTCTCATAACAAACTTTTCTTTTCTTTTCATTTTCTTGGGTTTTCATTGATTCACAAGCAGACATAACCTAACATCTGCAGACCATCTACTCTCTTAACAGACTTTTCTTCTCGTTATCTTAGGTTTTCATTGATTCACAAGCAGACATAACCTAACATTTGTTTATCCGATAACTTCTTTTAATAAAACAAGCTCAATTCTAACAATTTGACTGTATTTAGTTATTATATAACAACAAACAGCTATCATTACATTACAAAATAAACTAAAACAAAACCATGAAACAGCATAGCGGAAGCATTGTTTAATTTTTATTTATTTATTTTTTTTCACTTCTTTCGCCACAGCCCATACCTTCCTTTTAATTTTAATAAACTTCATTTTCATTTTAGTCCTTGTTTTATAACTTTCTTTCTTTTTAGTCATGAAAATTTACTATATTTGCATTTCATCAGCCACTATTTCATTTTTTTTCTCTTCTCCCAAAGCTTCTTTTTACTTTTAGTAAACTTAACTTTCGCATTAATCCCTATTTTATAACCTTTTTTTTTCGATGATTAAAATTTTATTATATTTGATTTTTATCCATAAAATATTTTTAAAAAATTTTTTAATTTATTTCATTTTAGCTCCAAAAAATTTAAAATAAAAATTTTAATTCTCTGATTGATACACCGCACATGTCTTTTTTTTTTTTCCTTTGAGGTTTTTTTTTATATATTTTTTTCCATCAAGTTATGTTCTTTTTTTATTTGATTGGATGTTAAAATTTTAAAAAAATCAATTTTTTCTTTTCTTTTTTCATCAATTTATGTTCTTTTTTAATTGTGGTGTTAAAATTTTAAACAATGAATCATAACTTCTTTTCACACAAATTGATGATTATATAATATATCTTTTTATATTTTAAAATTAACATATACTTCAACTTATATTACTCGTTATTATTTAAATTTTATTCTTTGAATTTATCATTTTTTTAATCAAAATTTTCATTCAATTAATATTTTTTTATATAAAATTTATTTATTGATATCATATAATTTATTTTTCTCTATATTTGAATATATACAATAAAATTTTAAAATATGATTTTTTTCTTTTTTAAAAATAAATTGGTATAATATATATATCATGAATTCTTAGAATTTTTACATGATATTTGCATATATATAAATAAATAATTATTTTATTCTAAAAGGTTAAAAGTGTAGTTTAAATCATTTATCTCAGTTCACTAGATATGATCAAGACATATAAAAAAATTATTGAATCGTTCATTTTATTAAAAATTAACTATACATTTTCCAACATAATACAAATTATTTACTATAAATAATTTTTTAACATTATAAAACCAATTTATTCGAAATAAGATATTTAAAATAATTTTTTAAAGGAACCAACCAATTATTCAAATACTATTTTTTATGCTAATTTTATTGATTATTTTATCAATAAATATATATAGTTCAAATGCATATACTTGAAAAAAAAATTAATCTTCTCACCAACATTAAATAAGAATAAAATTTATTTTTTTATTGGTTAATTCTTATGCAAGTCTATACATTAATTGTAAATTTATTTTTTAAATTCATTCTTATAAAAAAATATAATTTTAAAGTATTTCCTTTTGAATTCTTAATTAATTTTTCAGGTTTAAATTATTATAATTTTTTATTTAAGAATTCCTAAATAACGAAGAATAAATCATGCTTTTTAAGTAGAAATTTTATGAAAGAACACACAAAAAATAGTAATAATTAAATAAAAAATATTACATCTTGAAATGATTTTATTCTATTTACCAAGTAGTATTGTGTAGATAATTTTAAAAATTATTTTTTCTCATAAGCATTAAATGAGAATTCTTTTCATTTGTTAATTTTTGTCAAAATTTGTCCATTAATTATAACTAGTTTTTAGAATACAATATTGTGAAAATTATATTTTTAAAGTTTTTTCAATTCTTGATTAATATTTTAGTTGAAAATATTATAATTTTTAATTTTAAAATCAATCCATAGAGAAGAATAATTTATTTTTTTTAAGCAAAGAATTTATAAAAGCATTAGAAAAAATTAATTAAATTAAATATTATAATTAAAAAAATTAAAATTTTAAAATAATTTTATTCTATCGAACCTGAGGTGCAACGCAGGCAACTGGTTAGTACAGAACTGGAAGGTATGGACGGTGAATTGATGATGATCCAATAGCCCTTTTCAATCAGTTGATGTTGGTGTTTTTATTTTTTATTTTTTTAGTTCTTCTTTTCTTTACAAATTGAAATTTGGGCCACACAACCCAATTGAAGTGTGTTACAAAACCTCTGACCCAACAAAGAGGATCCAACAACCAAATAAACATAAACGCCCAATTATAAAATCAACTGAAATCAAATCCTACCAAATGGATAGCATGAGCATGTCCCTCCTAGCCTTCTGCATTCTCCTCAGCAATCTCCTTCCTTGATGACACTTGCATCATGCTAACATGCAGCAAATCACCATACCCTAACTCCTTCCTCGTTTATTCTATAGTATAAGGCACATGAATGAACCTCCTGATTAAATAAAAAATATATATTTTTTCATCAATTCTTATTTATAAAATGCTATTTAATTGCTTACTTTTCAGCATTTAAAAGAAATTTTTTTTTTGAAGATTTATTTTTAAGAGATAAAAAATTCCACTTATATAATAGAATTGATGAAAAACTCAATAAAATGAATTACTTTTAAATGAAAAATAATTACAAAAAGATCTGATAAAAAATTTAAAATTAATTGATCAATTTTGAAATGAAGAAAGGTTTGGATCGTCTATTATTATTGTTATTATTTTCTTTACAATTCTATTTTATAAATCATAGACATGATGTGCAAGTAAGTTAGCATGGCAAGCATTTTTACACACATTCTCAATCCTTAATGTTATATGATATTGGCATTTCAATCCATTGTCGCACATGCGTACCATTTAGACAAGAAATTGGACCGATTTGGAATCTCCTTGCGCCCAAAATACAACTGCAGCTTTTCTCAGGTTTTCAATCAAATCCTGGTGCGGGTTTTTCCATCAATGAAAGGGAAATGTGAAGGGGAAAGGAATTTAGTTTCTACACCATGGTTTTTGGTTATTATATGATGTTGAAATGATACTATACTTTGCAACAACTTAATAATCTAAATTTTTTAATGATAGATTCTGCTTGATACGTGATTGTTAAATTGATAAGTATAACTGCACTTAAAGTTAGGGATCATGTTCTCCAGTTTTTACTGGTGAATGAGGGGAATGCGGCCACTGCCAGTCTGAGGAAGTAATATGTGTAACTTGCTGAGAATAAATAGAGACAAGGGTTTCATGCTTAGAGATGGAAAATCTAGGTTTTCAATTTATGGAGTTTTCAATAATTCAGGCTGTCTCGCAAAGATCAATCCATAGGCACCTTTGGATAAAGTTGGCATTCTCAGCTGGGGCATCGCAACAGGTTTGTTTCACTAAAATGTAGTGCCTTGCAAGTTTTATCTGCCAAATTCATATCTCAGGATTGGGTGAAACATTGAATGTGGTAAAACCGAAAAAGAGCTCCTCAGTTGCTGACTTTTGGGAGCTGTTGGACTAGCTGAGTGCTCTGTACATTCATAAATTCGATTATTTTCTTACTCTACGCATTCAACATGGAGACCAAACAACATGTTTCCCATGCCCTCTTTTTGACAGGAGTGGGGAGTGCAGCGGCCACCTTGGTGCTATGGTTTCTGCTTCTGAACGCGTACGTGTAGGTTAGGACTGAAACTGAAACCTTGGCATTTCTGAACCAAAGACGATACTTTTTCCATTTCTTCATTCTGGCTTAGGATTGACAGTTTTTATAAAACCCGATCAATCATATTCATATTAACAGTTTAATATGTAGCAGTCTACTCAATCAAATAAACTTGGATTTTTCAGTCTTAGTTCACATTTAGCTCTCTTCTTTAGACCTTAATCTTAGTCCAGCTTAATTTATAGTATCCTGTTTCACTTGGATGCTGCATTTATCAACACATCAAGCAACATGGATGTTTAACTATGCAGAGATGGGGAGTGGCAGCAGTCTTCATGACTAAGTACGTCAATGTGCTCAACGAAAGAACACTTTAGGGAACTTTTTCTTTGGGAATTATAAACCAAGAACTGACCTACCATCCATTGTGGATACATGCACAAGGTAAACTCCGTTGCAATCACAGGTTTCAAGCATTCATTTTTGGTTATCATTTAACCATACCGGAAAAACAGTATGCATAAGTTGGAATTGGAACCATTTATAACTCATCAGCCGCCTATTTTGGACGTCAATAAGGGCTTCGAGTTGATGCTAAAGGGGGAGATCTTGCGATGCATTATCGATACGAATGAGTCGGATGCGAAATGAGGAATTGAGAGAAAGCACAAGAATTTTCGAAGTCATGTTTCCTTTCCGAAATAAAATTATTGGAAAGACTGAAAAAGCAAAGAAGGTAAAATACTAAGTTGAACGAAATAAAATCCCACCAAGTTGCTCTTACACACTCCGGCTTTTGTGTGTGTTGGGGCCTTGGGAGGGTGAGCAAAATAATGTCTAATATATCCACAACCATGATTTCTTTTTGGCTGTAAATCAGTCCCTCTATAAAGCATGAACTTGCACTAATAAGATTAATGAAGCACCTATCGTGCATTCTAGCAGTATGGTTTAATGTGGTCATCACGAGTCAAAGAAAAATAGGAACAACCATGAGGCTCACATGAAGATAACTTGTTGAATGGTAGGCAATGCACAGTGGATGTTAGAGATACAATAAGAACATGCATATGCCTATTTCCTGGTGAATCAAACATAATTCATGTTTTTCTATGTAAGCCGAAAATGACATAACAGTGTCACTCTCTGCATAAATAGAAGCAGAAAATGAAACAGAAGCCCATGATGCGTGCAGAAATGTGTATCCATATCTACTGATTTCTTTCAATTTCTGAAAGTACTGCTTGTTGAAGTACTGGTTTAAGAAAAACCAGAAAATTACTGCAGGATGATTTTGAAGCCTATCTATAAAAAAAAAAAAAAGGATAAAATTTTTACTTGAAACAAAAGGAAGAATTCTGTTGCATTTATATATAATTTCTCTTTCTATTTTAGACACACGCCCAATTCTAGAACAGAATGCTTTCATGCATAGAAATTTGATCATTGGATTGCTTACTCCTGCCATTGTTACTTGTACTTTTCCATTATTCTTCTTGCTTCTTCTAAGGGGTCCTCTGAAGTTGTACCACCACCTCCTTTTGGCCCTTGGTCTTTGTTCAAGGCAATGAATGTGAAGTATACGAGTCCCATCATGGCCTGTTAATTAAGAAGAAAGCAATACTTAACAGTCATAAAAACATACTGCTCAAAGATGCTTAAGGATATTTCATTCCCTAACAAGACTGGTGATCTATGGATATTTTTAAGTCATGCGCATTCTGTGGGACTTGATGACTTGCTGACATCCAGATCAAAACTCAGAAACAAAAGCCAATGTTTCTCTCCTAAACCTGTGCTCGAGAGATAGCTGTCCATACACTGATAAGGGATGTATGGATTCTCGAGAAGAGAGGAGCCACAGTGGCTCCCTGGACCGCCCAGATCCCATGAGGGAATAGAAAATTGAATCGACATTGGATCTCACCTGAATTGCTCCATCTATCCTCTTGAGGAGAAGTTTGGTTTCGAACCCGGTTCGAATAGGAGAAGTGCGCCAAGCTAATGTGCCTTGGTTGATCCATATCTAAGGGTCAGGTGCTGATGAGCACAATGAAACTATTCATGTGGCTAAGAGCCCTCACAGTCCAGGCACAATGACACTATTATCAGGGGCGCGCTCTACCACCGAACCGATAACCTGTCGTGCAACCTAATCAAATTTACTCTTATACATACATATTCTCATGGTTCCAGCAGTCAATCCTATTAGGTTGATCATTGTACAACACATTGACATTACACGAGCGCAAATTTACTCACATACATAAACATTCTCATAGTTCCAGCAGTCAATACTATCAGGGTTGATATTTGTACAACACATTCACATTACACGAGCGCAGAAAGCGAGACTATCGACATGTCTTTATTCATTATGTTTAAACCACAACTGAATAAATTGGATATGGCTTATATCAATCATCAACTCCAACAAATAGAATTAAAAACAGAGAACATACCAGCACAAAGAAAGCTGTAGACAGGAATGATTTTAGCACAAACAGCGAAATGGCCAATACAGCAACTGTCACCGAAATCCTTGCTATCGATCTTGGTACAGATTCCTATAATAAATTTACAAAACAGAAAATACCTTAAAATTTTTTTTAAAAAATAATAATAACTTCCTGTCACCCAAAAAAAAAAAAATAATAATAATAATAATAAATAAATAATAAAAATAATAATAATAAAAAAGAACTTACAGGCACCAGATTGGTCCCTGCCTCGATACCATCCTTCCCAACCTTCCATATAGTTTGAATAACTAATAATTCACAAAACCCAAAATCACAATTAGACCAAAATGAACGAGTTATATCTGGGAAAAAAAAAAAAAGGACCGAATGCTGACCTTTAAAGAAATTAGACTGTGCAGCGAAGACAACGCGACCTGAGCGAGGATTCCTGGTTGTGGGATTCTTGACACGCAAGTTTGGAAGCAGAGATTGCTCCTTGAAGTTTAAAAAGGAGTTGTTATTTGTTGATAAACTAAGGTTTTTATAACATTTTGGAGAGTAAAGTGGAATGGGAGAGCCTAGGCTATTGCTATAAAAAAGAATAAGTGAAGGTGTAGCCATTAGTTGCTTATGGTGTTTTGTTGCTACCTGTGGCACTGAAGTTTCGAACTCTCAACTTCGTTTTATGAGGTGGAGCTGAAGGAGGAAGACCGACATGGGAAACTTTCTCTCAGCCTCACAAGCTTTGGAGGGAAAGGGACCACAGGAACTAGATTTCAGTTCGGTCTAGCCCAATTTGTGGAAACATTGGGTTTCTTTCTTTTACACAATTAGTCTGGGCTTTGTTTGGCTCATCCATGGAAGTTTAGCTTCTTTGAGGGCCTATGGCCTATGAATGCTACATGACAAAAAAGAAAGAAAGATTTCCTACAAGGCATCCGTTCGCTTTACTGTATATATGAGGTTAATTGGTTATAAAGTATTTGAATTTTTTATTAATAGGAAAAAAAATTCTTAATATTTTTATTTTGATTTGAATCTCAGAATTTTTTTTGGATTTACAATTAAGTCTATTTATTTTGAACAATTATTAAGTCTAATAATTTATACAAAAATCTTGAAAGATCTAAAATACATAATCACGTATTATTGTTTTAATGATGCGAAACAAGGACAAAAATTATTAGGATCCGAATGAAAATAAAAAATTAATTTTTTTCCTGTTTACTAAAATATCAAAAATATTTTAGAACCTTTTTTTTTTTTTTTTTTTTTTTTTTTTTTTTTTTGCATATGGTGGTCAACAAAGCTAATCTTTTATTGAATAATGCTATTCATGGAGCCGCAAAAATTATTAGCAGCTAGCAGCTTGGGCTGTAGCCTCGAAACCCTAACAAAAGTTTTCTTGCCTAATAGTAGCAATTTGGTAAATTAAGCTAGAAGGGTCAATTAGGAAAGCAATCAAAATGGACATAAAAAGTAAAAGAAATAAAAGTAGGGTAGGCGCAGGAACACTTTGAACCTCATGATATGATTATGAGATGCTTTTGGACCTAGTGGTGGTGGGTTTGAATCCTCCATGGAGTAGTAAATATTCAAATGTTGGATATTATTATAAGATGTGAGAAAATCTGTGAAGGTTGGAAAAAAATTTATGAACAAAACGTGCATAGATTCCATACTGGGGAATTCCCTAGGTCACCCCCTAAAACTCTGGGCTCTGAGCGCCATCGTTTAGTTTTGTATTGATTTGGCCATGCTGAATTAATATTTTGCTTTTCGAGAGGGAGTAGGTTTCATGCAGAGAAAACTAGACTTTTATGCCTAATTTTTATTTTTTTTATTTTTATATCTATTTTTTTAGAGTATTTACAATCATCTCAAAATATAAAAGGATAACAAGTTCAAAATAATCTGTTATGCGGCAATTAAAAATATGATGTGATAATTAAAAAAATATTATGTGACAGTTCACCCGAATATGTAAATGTTTTATATTTTTAAATAATTATAAATACGAAAAAAAATTGAAATTGAAGAATTTATCAATTAAATTAAAAAAAAGGTTGGTGACAAAAATCGCAGTTTTCTCATTTCGTATTCTACAAAATTATTGCCTTGGAATAAACCCTTAAGGCTCTATTTATTTGACGAAAAACAATTTTTATAGAAAAATCAATTCTGAATAAACTATTTTTCAGAAAATTATTTTTCAAAAAAATATTTTCCGACGTTTGATAATTACATAAAAAAACTGCTAGAAAATATATTCCAGTTTTTGTTTAATAAAAAAAAAACTGAAATATTAATTTTTTTTTTTTTGAAAATTGAACTAATAATTTAGTCTAAAAAATTGTTTTACAAATTATTAGTTATCATTTGCGAGATAATTATTCATTTATTTTCAAAAGGTTAATGTTGGAATAATATGTAACTAATTATTGACTACAATTACTAACAAAATTTTACAATTGATTAAAATTACTCGTAAATTATTAATTTAGTTACAAATGAGTAGTGTTGAAAAAATAATATATTTATTAATGAATTAATTAGTTTTATTTTTTTTTCACAAATGATTGCGGTCTTTTAATAATCATTTCCTACTAATCAAGTATAGTTTAGGTGATGTTGAGATAATGGTAAAAAAAAAAATAGAGATAAATTATTAAAATATTTATTATAAAAATAATTTTAAGATATAAAAATGGTTTTTAAGAATATTTAATCCATTTATAAATCGAAAAATCAAATATTAGTTGAAATAGAGAAAAAAATAATTACATAATTAATAATAATTGATAAGAAATAATTAAAAATTAATTTGATATATTTTAAATAAAAAGGAGATAGAGAAAAATATTGTTAAAATATATCACAAGAGAGGTGAGTAACACGAGAGCGAGATATCTCGTAAGAGATATGAAAAGTGTTTTCCTTTTTTTTAACTCGATAAATACTTTTTTAAAAATGCTTTATAATTTTTCGTTGATTTTTTTCCTAAACGCGAAATAAATATAAAAAAAATAAAAAAATAAAGAAAAACAAGAAAAACACAGCCTAAGTGTCACTTGGTTTTGTCATCATCCAAAATGTGCTTATGTGCTCTGCTTTCCATTCAAGGCCAGAAGTACATTCATTGGTTCAATGGGGAGGTGGTACAGCCCAAATCAAGCTAGCTAGGCTGAAAGGTCTGAAACGTGCATGGATGATCACTTGGTAGAAGTTGCAAGAAATGAAACCAAAAATCTCGAAAGAAAACTCGTCGGTTTTCAATTTTTTCTCACAATTTTCAGTGCCTTTCTAGCATGGGATTGAAAATTCGAGACCAAGTTTGAGGACGCAAGTTTTACAGCTGGTAATTAATAAAAGGAATCAACAAAGGTTTCAAATTAAGGATGGCCCGATAATCAAAAATAAAACAATCAATAAAACACAGACCAAATTGAGGAAAACAATGCAAGAACACATGGAGTATCTGCTGCTAAATTTGTAGTCTATCAATGGCCTATTCAAATAAAGAAAGAAAGACCAAAAAGGTAGAGCAAAGAAACAGAACCTCGAGGTGAAGGCGATGGTGTGGACTGTGGTGGCACAACTTTAACCTCTCTCTCCTTTTGTCATCCCTCTGTTTTTTGCTTAGCTTGTCTGCAAAGGAAATATACTATAGCAATATAGGTTGAGAGTGGAACAAGTGAGGATCCATTCAAATAAGGAGAGAGAAATAGAGAGACCCGATGCAAGCACAATAAGAGAAGTTTGGGATTTGATGCCATTGTCAATGCCGATGTCGAGGCAATCCATCAACACCTTCGACCATCACCCAATGCCAAGGCAAACTTTCACCATCCACCACTACCATCAGCACCATCACGTTCTCCTCCTCCTCCACCTCCTAACAGTACTTTTGTCTTCATTTACAGCTTCTTCAACACCAAATAATGAAGTTGGCATACTACTTTCATGGATTCACAGCTCTCCTTCACCCTCTCCATCTTTCTTTAATTGGAACACCTTAGACCCCAACCCCTGTAAATGGTCCTATATCTCTTGTTCTGCCGACAATTTCATCACTGGCATCAATATTTATTCTGTTGAGATAGCACTTCCCTTCCCTTCCAACCTTTCCTCTCTTCACTATCTTCAAAAGCTCACCATTGCTGGTGCCAATCTAACAGGAACTATCCCACCTGATATTGGAGACTGCACTCAACTAACACTGCTTGATGTTAGCTCAAATAGTCTTGTAGGTAGCATTCCTTCCAGTATTGGGAAGCTCAAAAATCTCCAAGACTTGATTTTAAACTCTAACCAGCTCACAGGAGAGATCCCAGCAGAGCTTTGCAAATGTATAAATCTCGAGAATCTTGTCATATACGATAACTATTTAAGCGGGAAGCTTCCAGTCGAGCTGGGCAGGTTATCAAATTTGGAGATTATACGTGCTGGAGGGAACAAGGACATTGAAGGACCCATCCCTGATGAACTTGGAGGTTGCCAGAATTTGACAGTGTTGGGTCTAGCTGGTACGAAAATTTCTGGTTCCATACCTGCTTCATTGGGTAATCTGACCAAGCTACAGACACTATCAGTATATACCACGATGATTTCCGGTCAGATTCCACCAGAAATAGGCAACTGCTCTGAGCTTGTGAACTTATTTCTGTACGAGAATGATCTCTCAGGTTCACTACCACCACAACTGGGTAAGCTTCAAAAGCTTGAAAAGATGTTATTGTGGCAGAACAATTTTGATAACGCCATTCCTGATGAAATCGGAAACTGCAAAAGCATGATGATTCTAGATCTCTCCTTGAACTTTTTCTCGGGTAGCATCCCTCAGTCTTTTGGAAACCTATCAAATCTTGAGGAGCTTATGCTTAGTAACAATAATATCTCCGGTTGGATTCCACCAGTCCTTTCAAATGCCGCAAAACTCTTACAGTTGCAGCTTGATACTAATCAGATATCAGGTTCAGTTCCAGCAGAGCTTGGGATGCTGAAAGACCTCACAGTTTTCTTTGCCTGGCAGAACAAGCTTGAAGGAAGCATTCCAGAAACATTGGCTGGTTGCAGAAGCCTTGAAGCTCTAGATTTGTCACACAATGCCCTTACTGGTAGCTTACCTCCCGGCCTTTTTCAGCTTCAGAACTTGACAAAGCTTCTCTTAATTGGTAATGGTATCTCTGGTTCAATTCCCCCTGCAATTGGTAATTGCAGCTCCCTTATTCGGCTTCGGCTTGTAAATAACAGAATCAGTGGAGAGATTCCAAGAGAAATCAGGTTCCTCAGTAACCTCAGTTTCCTTGACCTGTCAGGAAACCATCTTAGTGGATCACTGCCGGATGAACTTGGCAATTGCAAGGAGTTGCAGATGCTGAGCTTAAGCAACAACACCCTTGGAGGAACTTTGCCTGGCTCCTTATCTTCTCTCACGAGGCTTGAGGTGCTAGATGTTTCCATGAATAAATTTGCGGGTCAAATTCCATGGAGTTTCGGTCAGCTTACATCACTGAATAGACTCATCTTGGGTGGAAATTCTCTCTCTGGGGCAATTCCCTCCTCCCTTGCCCACTGTTCAAGTCTTCAATTGCTTGATCTTGGTAGCAATGCACTCTCTGGCACAATCCCAATAGAACTATTTGAGATTGAAGGTCTTGATATTACTCTGAATTTGAGTTGGAATGCACTATCGGGGACAGTCCCACCACAGATTTCTTCTCTAAACAAGCTATCCATACTCGACATTTCCCACAATCAGCTAGGAGGAGACTTGGTCGCACTTGCCGGGCTTGAAAACCTCGTTTCTCTGAACATTTCCTTCAACAAATTCGCTGGCTATCTTCCAGACAGCAAGCTTTTCAGGCAGTTGTCAGCAACAGAGTTGGCAGGAAACGAGGGATTGTGTTCTAGTGGTCATGATTCATGTTTCCTAAGAAACAGTACAAACATTCGAATGCCAAATGGTAGTGGCTTCAAACGATCACAGAGATTTAGATTGGCCATCGCACTGCTTGTCGCTTTGACTATAGTAATCGCAATTTTAGGGGCTATTGCAGTTTTTCGAGCTCGAAAATTGATAGGCGATGACTGTGAATCTGAGATGGGAAGGACCCCATGGCCTTGGCATTTTACTCCATTCCAGAAGCTAAATTTCACAGTTGACCAAGTTGTAAAACGTCTGGTGGAAGCCAATGTAATTGGAAAGGGATGCTCAGGAATCGTTTATCGTGCAGAACTGGAAAATGGTGAAGTAATTGCAGTAAAAAAGCTCTGGCCTTCAACAATAACTGCCAGTCATGATTGTGACAATGACAGACGAGGCATTAGTGGAGTTCGTGATTCCTTCTCCGCTGAAATAAAAACTCTCGGCTCCATCCGCCACAAGAACATTGTTAGGTTCTTAGGTTGTTGCTGGAATCATAACACAAGATTGCTTATGTATGATTATATGCCCAATGGGAGCTTAGGCAGTCTTCTTCATGAACGGAGTGGTGGTTGCTTGGAATGGAATGTGAGATATAGAATTGTTTCGGAGGCAGCGCAAGGTCTGGCTTACTTGCACCATGACTGTGTTCCTCCCATCGTCCATAGGGACATCAAGGCCAACAACATTCTTATTGGCCCTGAATTTGAACCCTACATTGCAGATTTTGGGCTTGCCAAGCTTGTTGATGACGGAGATTTCGCTCGGTCTTCTGCCACTGTTGCTGGTTCCTACGGTTACATTGCTCCAGGTTAGCAAGCAAAAATTACAAAATCCTTAAATTTTAGCATCCTTCCATGTAAAATCTAGGTATTAAATTCAATGCTCGTTATGGAAATTCGAGATAAATGCATTACATTCCTAACCTTGAAAGACATGTTTGTTAACTACGCAAACTTCTTCATGTTGTAAAGTAAAAACTAAATTAACCTGTAGCTTGTGCCAATCTTCTTATGAATGGTTCAGATAATCCTCTGCCGTAGAATCATTAATTTCATCATTAGTAGTTATGGATAACATAAACTTCCTGTTGCTCCATTTTCACATTAGCCAGTGGCATTGACAATACTTACCATCATTTTGTTGGCATGCAGAGTATGGATATACGATGAAGATAACAAAAAAGAGCGACGTATATAGTTATGGGGTGGTGGTTTTAGAAGTGCTAACAGGAAAACAACCAATTGATCCAACAATACCGGAAGGGCAGCACATTGTAGATTGGGTCAGGCAGAGGAGAGGAGGAATAAAAGTGTTAGATCCCAGCTTAAGAAGTCGACCAGAATCTGAGATTGAGGAGATGTTGCAGACCATAGGTGTGGCCTTGCTGTGTGTAAATTCTTCTCCTGATGATAGGCCTACAATGAAGGACGTATCTGCAATGCTCAAAGAAATAAGGCAGGAGACGGAGAGGGAGGATTGTGTGAAAGTTGGCATGCTTCTGAATGGACCTCAAGAAAAGAATGAGCAAGGAAATAGCAACTCAACCTCGACATTGATGATGCAACATTCATATCCTCAAAGCAACAATACAAGCTTCTCAGCATCCTCATTCTTGCATTCCTCTTCATCCAATGCCAAAACAACATTCAAATAAACATTGCAGAGTTTATTGTTTTTTAGAGTTTTAGAACTTTCATTCCCTCAAGTAAAAGAGGGTGAAGATTAATGCAATTAAAATTAATATCCCTAAAATATAATAAATTGGAGTTTTAAGCTAAAAACAACTAGAGTCTAACCACTCTTTTTAAATGTATGTTTGATAATGCGAATGCAGATATTTCTACAGAAGTGTTTTTGATATGAAAAAACATATCAAAATTTAATATTTTTACAATTCAAAAACACTTTCAAAAATACTATGAAACACGATTCAAACGCATTACTCTCAAATGCATTACAAAATACAAATTAAAGAAAACGAGTTTATGAGGATGATTTTGCTCTACTTACAAGAGGTATAAAACAAAGAAAAAAACAAAATTCCATACATAATTATTTTACTCATTTCCCGAATACTTAAGTTTATATATATATATATATATATATATATATATATATATATATATATAATAGAATAGAAAAGTTAACACATGGAAGAAGTTAATGTTAAACGTGCCAAACATTCCCTAAACTTTAACTCATTTGAAATTGAGTTTTTAAATTTTTAATTTTTTAAGATTTAGTTCATCTAATGATTCTTAGCTATCATCCTCTCTTCTAGAAAAAAATTCAATTCTTAACATTAGAAAAAATCTAATCTATGTTTTTATAAAAATCAAATATTTTTTTCAAAATAAAAAGTATATTTGTTTATGTTTTGAGCATTAAAATATAGAAGAAAAAAAACTCGAAATGATCCCAAATTTATTGAAAAGTCCCATATAAATAGTACTAAATGATTTTTATTATGGAGCTATTTATGTGATAATTATTTTTTCGGATAAATGACAAAAAACTGAACAATAGGCTAAATGTTAAAAAAATTAAAAATCCAAAAATCCCAAAAACCAAATTTGAAATTCAAAAGTTCAATTTTAAATGAGTTAAAATTTAGGAGATATTTGATCCATTTAACCAAAAGTTAATATATACCAACTTTTCGAACATTTATTTGAAGTTTTCAAAGGCCGAAAGAGTTTAATTATCCTTGAACTTTAAGTTATTTAATATTGATTTTTAAATTTTTTTATTGGTTTTAGAGATTTCTAACTTTTAAATTTTGAAATTTAATCGATGGCTTTTAACTAATACCTTTTCTTTTAAAAAAATTCAATTCTTGGTATTTTGAATTAAAATTTTGCATACATACTGAAAAAATTAAATCTATTATGTAGAAAAATTCCAGAATTTTTAAAAATTGAAAACTATATTTGTTTATTTTTTTGTTTTAAAAATTGGAAAAACTAAAAAAATAACTCTGCAATAATCTTAAATTTTTTCAGTAGCTTCACATAAATTTCACCAAATGATTTTCATAATAAAACTATTTAAGTGATTGTTGTTTATTGAAATAAATGATACAAAACTAAAGGATGAATTTAAATCTGAAAAAAATAAATTAAAAGTTCATATTTAAATGAATTAAAATTTAAGAGTGGTTGGATCTTTTAGACGTTTTCTGCTTTTGCAACGGTTCCTTTATTTGGGCTTTTAGTTCGGATCCGTGCTTGCTCTTTTTGTTTACTTCTAAACATGCATCATATAGGCTGCCCCCTGATGCTGAAATTTGTTGCTATTACAAAAGGATTAAAAAGAATAAATATGAAGTCAGTACAGAAACGATCAAACAACAGGGACGCATCTAGCTAGATTAGGTTTTTAAAAGCACCACCTAAACCTCAAATTAAAACCAAGCAATAAATTCTTCTGGATGGATAACTACTTGCTTTGCCAGTTGATAAGAAACATGATCTGTTTGTCATGTTGATGAACAAAATTCAACCTTGTAACCGCACAACTAGGAATAATGGCATAAGAAATGATATTGTTTCTATAAAGTAGAGATTTAAAAGGACCGCAATGAAATGACAACTCAAAATGGTAATAGAATTCAAAATGAAACTGAATTTTTAATGACCATTGTCTGAATTCTGAATCCATTTGATAAGATTGGAATAGTCAAACTCAGAAGGAATATTTGATGATGCAGGCAGCATACCATTGGCGTTGATTTCTTGCGCTTTCGTGACCTCATGAAGCTTGGCTTCATTCAAGTCCATAATGCCGCCAAAACTAATGAAAAACTTTTAAATCCACCTTTGTTATTTGTTTCATGCTTGATTCATTATAAAGTATTTTGAACTTTTGGATTAGAGGAAAAAAAAATTCTAATTGTTATTTATGTTTTAACTTACATATAATTTTTTTTGGTCTATAATTAAATTTTTTTGTCTCATTAAGCATTAAAACTATCGCTACTCTACTTTGACAAGACTCTTGAAAATTTGTATTTTTGATTAATTTGAAAAAAAAAATTTGGTTGGGGGATGTGAGTTATTTTCAGAGTCGTTATCTATTATTAAAAGAATTAGAAACTTAAAACGGATACTCGATTCAAAGATTCTCGAGTATAGAGTTGGTTATGCTATTTAGAAGATATCAATCAATCAAAACCATCATTTCCTAAAAAAGGTACCATGCCTAGTTTAAATCTATAATTCATCTCTAAAAAAAAAAATTCTATTTTTTCAAAATGAGTTCTAAACAAAATTCCAAGTTTAATTTTCTATGTCAAACTAATTTTTATTTATTTTTTTATTTGGAATCATGCTTGAATCAATCGTTGAGATCATGAAAGTGCAAGAAATCAATACTAATGGTATGTTGCCTACATCATCAAATAATGCCACCAAAACTAATGAAAAACTTAAAAATTAACCTTTGTTATTTATTACATGCTTAATTCATTATAAAGTATTTTGAACTTTTGGATCGGAGGAAAATTTTTTTTTCTAATTTTCTAATTTTGTTTTAATTTGAATATATATATATTTGCTATAATTAAATCTTTTTGTCTCATTAAGCATTAAAGCTGTCACTACTCGACTTTCGCAGGACTTTTAAAAATTTTTATTTTTGATTAATTTGGTTTTTTTTTTTTTTTGGATGTGAGTTATTTTCGAGTCACCATCTAGTATTAAAAGAATTAGAAATTTAAAATGGATACTAGTTCGAGAGATTCTCTAGTATGGAGTTGGTTATGCCATTGAGAAAATATTAATCACTTAAAATCATAATTTCCTAAAAAAAGTACCATCTAGTTTAATTCTACAATTTATCTCTAAAAAAATTTCTATTTTTTCATAATTAGTTCTAAACAAAATTCCAAATTTAATTTTCTATGTCAAACTCGAGTTTTTTTTTCTTTTTTGTAGCATCATGTTGAATTAATCATTGGATCTCTCCGTTAATCATCTCGTCGATTCAATATTGAATCTAGTTTAAGTCTCGACATAATCGGCATATCATATAACAACCTAATTATTAAAACATGATTGATTTTGGTTAACATCAGTCCATATAAGATAAAAGACTTTGTTAATTTTTCACATAATATTTTTTTATATATTTTTTCTTTCCCTTTTTTCTTTTTAGTTCTATTTTTACCTAGTGTTTTCTCTCATCATTTTTTTTGTCTAATATTTCTTTTCTTCTTTTTTTTTTTTTTTTTGGTTCATTCTCCCTTTTTTTTATATTTTTTTTGTTGGTGAGGGATCGTTATCAATAAGGATGGCAATCCGACTCATCCCACCGAGCCTCGCCCCGTCCCACCCTATTTAGAGTAGGGATGGTATGCGAAATATCGCTACGAACAAGGTACGGGTAAGGATGGCCATCCTCATGCTCGCCTAGCCTTTTTACCTTTAGGAATGGAAATCGACAGGACCCCGCCTCAACTCGTTTGGGGCCGGGATGGTACGCGAAATATTGCTCCGAACGGGACACGGGATGGGGATGGGGTGACATTTTCTAAGGCATATCCGTCCAGTCCCATTGCCATCCCTAGTTATCAATCCCTAAAAGTTAGGAGATTTTCTCCACTTATTAATTATTTAACTTAATAATTGAAGTAAATCCTAAAATCAAACATTAATCGAATAAATTCTAGGAGTTCAAAATATTAAATCTAAATTAAGCATAAAAAAAAATCAAAACATACATCCATAAAAGAAATTTAGGGTCAATTTATCTAAAAATGGGTTAAAAATTAGGATATTAGATCATTTGGATTAGAAGGGCGCCCTCAACCAATTGGGCCGGGCCCACTAGGCTAGGTCTAATAGGTTAGCCTTTCTTTTCTTTTTCTTAGGCACAGGGTCGGGTTGAGATCAACCCAAGCCTTGTCATGCGAGCTAGGTTTAACTAATTGAGCCCAACCTTTCATTTCCTTTTACCTTGTCTTAGTCAATTCTTTTTAACACATTTTTTTCTTTTATCCTAATTTCTCTTGTTCAAACTTGATCCTTTCATCTCTCTCATCCTCTTTTTTTTCCCCTCCAATCAAAACCTAGGGTCTCCGATCTCTCTCATCTCCATCCTCCTTCAATTGAACCTAGAACTTCCTCTCATCTCTTTTCTTTAATTCTCCACTCTACCAACTTGCCCGATCTCCTCTCTTCGCCTTCAAATCCAAAAGCTAAACTACTAGTGTTCCCTTAAAATCAAATCCCTATCCCCTTTTCATTTTTTCCTTATCTGCATTCCCTTGGTTTTGATTCTTCTAATCTTCTTTTGTACCATTTGGATGTATCAATATAGTCCCTATATTATTTTAGTTTCTTCAATTAAGTCCTTAGGTCCTGTAATTGCGGTTCTAAATTTTTTGATTGATTCAATTATATCTCTAATTGTCTAAATTTTAATTTTATTTGATTCACTTATATTTATACTTATACTTGTATTTATATATTTTTTATTTTTTATTATTAAATAAAAAATAAAATAAATAAATAAAGAAAATAAAGGATAAAATAAAAGATAAAAGGGATAAAAATTAAGAAAAAAAATTTAGGTTATGACAACATGGATGAGCAAGTGATATTTTTAGAGTCCTGGATCGGGTATGATAAGGTGGTCCAGCCGGAGGTGGAGCTA